AAAGTGTCCTCAGCAACCAGCAGAAACAACTGACAGATACAACCAAGAAGATGGAGGAGATTGCAAAGAAATGCCTGGTATCAACGGAAGAAACACAAAAAATTAAGAAGAAGGTCAATAAAATGGAAAAACATCAAGCAATGCATGATAATAAGCTATTGATGTTACAAATGGAGAAATCAAATCTGACTCTTCGATTTCAAGGTATGCAGGAGGTTGAAAAAGAAGATCTCAGAAGCATACTGGCGAATGCTTTGGCACCACTGACTGGCAGTGAAGCGGAAAATTTAAAAGAAGAGATGGACTTGGCCTACAGAGCCTATTCCAACTTTACAAAGAAAAATAATCTGCCAGCTGAGGTGGTTGTGAAATTTGCTAAACAAGGCATCAGAGATCAAATTTTGAAAGCAACATCATCAACGCCTTTGAAAATCGGAGGACAGACCATAAGGATTTTGAAAGACGTTCCATTTGAAATTCGCATGAAAAGAAAGGAATACAAAGGGTTGACCACATTCTTGCAAAATCATCAAATTAACTACAGATGGTTGATTCCAGGACTTGTCTTTAAATTTAAAGACAAGAGAGAAAAGATAGACTCCATTTTCAAGGCTCAAGACTTTTTGAAGAGGCACGCCAACAAAGAGGAAGAATCTGAACTCGCGAAGTGGTTGGCGGTTAGCAGCGAGAAAGACAGCAGCACGGAGGGAGAGGTCAAAGAATCGGAAGATGGGAAAGCAGCAAAAGGTCCAACTTATAACTTGAGAGATAAAAAAGGGAAGCACCCCAACGCCTGAGTTTTTGTTCGGAAAGCGCGTTAAGAGACAATACTAACCCCAAAAGGACATTATTAACATATCTAATGTCTTTATTTTTTACAGGTAAAGATGGAAGAGAATTGTTTATTCTCAGAAGAAGCCACAGACTTTGTGAAATACTAACAAAATACTAATATACTAACTTAAATATCACTCACCACTTTTCTTAATCCCGCTATATACCCTTCCTGTTTTTCTGAAATTTAAAAGCAATAAAATTCTCTCCTTTTTAGGAGAGTTAATTAAAAAAAACTATATAAGTGAGTTGAAACATTAGAAAATATATTAAAAGAGTATAAATTTTTTTTGAAACATATGTGAAAGATTATTTTAAGAATATAAAGTGAAATTTGAAAAACAAATGTTGAGGTATTTAAATAGGTAATCTGATGAGGTAATGGAATCCCCTATTATTTAGATACCCATGTAAATGCTTGTGTATGTATGAAATTACATGGCTTTAGATTTTGAAATGAACTGAAGAAAATAATAGAAAAAGTATACAGACATATAACCTTTCATAGATTATAAAAACTGATATTTAAAAGTTTGCAAAAGATTTTTCTAAGAACATAAGGAAGAACATGGAAAACAAATATGGTATGAAGTATTCAAGCATGTAAACTGATGATGTAATTGAACCCCCCCACATTTATGTATTTGTGTGTACTTGTGTGTTTGGTCGTTGTGATGTTTGTCTTTATAAAATCAAAATCTTTAAAAGGTTAAAAAAAGAAAGAAAGTGGGGGGGGGAATACCCTCTGTATCACGGGCCTACACTTCTCTATTTTATGTCTGATGATTGTGGAAGTCCACATGGCAGCTTTATAACTGCTGGAGCACTGGCACTGAAAGCTGCAGAAATGGCTGTACTTCTGACTTGAGTGACCTGTGATGCCCACAGGTCTTGAAAAGAGTATGCCAGAACTATACACTCAGTAATCCACTTGCTTAGGACTGTCACAGATCTCCCCCCCCCCCATACACACTACTAGAGGGTAAACCACAAACAGGCTACCAGATTTCCTAAAAGGTGCAGTGCATCTGATGTACCGTATTTTCCTGCGTATAAGACTACTTTTTAACCCAGGGAAATCTTCTCAGAAGTGGGGGGTCGTCTTATACGCCGGTACGCCAGAAGCATCAGCACAGCTCTATATTTTAACTGGAAAACTCTATATTTTAACTGGAAAAGTTGGGGGTCGTCTTATACGCCCAGTCGTCTTATACGCCGGAAAATACGGTAGCTATGCAGTGTCCGTTTAAGGAGTATCAGTTGTTTTCCTTCGGGTGAGGTGGTTTAGGGCAGAATAATGGTATGTGGATATTTATTTATTTACTTATTTACTTGGACTTTTACCCAGCCCTCCCGCCGAAGCAGCTCAGGGCGCCTTACAACAATTTAAAACAACATACAATATAAAAACCAGCACTTACAGATATAAAATACAGTAAATACAGTAAAACCAGAGGTCATTTCGGGGGGGATTGCAGTTCCCCCAGGTGAGGTACGGGGGGCGGGGCACATGATGAAGCCCCACCCCCTGCTTCCGGCCGCCCTGCTTCCAGCCCTCATTCAGCCAGGAGGAGGCAGGAGAAGATGGAGGGTAAGTTGCTTCCTCCCTGCCTCTCCCCACCCCTGCCTGCCTGGGGCCAGGGAGGGCCTTCGCAGGGCTTCCTTGCACTCCCGCCGGCCTTGCAGGTCCACCGCTGGGCCCCTCATGGGGCTCGGCAGTGGAGCTGCAGAGCCGGCCAGCGGCGGTCGGGACCATTGGGGGCGGGGTGTGTGGCCTTATGACACACTTCCGGTGATGTCAGGGTGTATGGCATATGCTAATGAGTTATGCTAATGAGTTCCCCTAGCTCTTTTTCTACGAAACGACCCCTGAGTAAAACTAAATAAATATGGCAGCATCCTATGGTAAAGTGCTAGTGTGACCCAGCCGGTGCAGTCAGTTCTTATTTAAACGCTTGGTGAAACAGCTGTTTTCACCGCTCTACGGAACTGCTGGAGGTGAATGATGGAAGACCAAATTGCCTTTTGACATAAAGGTGGGATTAGAATGCAGAACCATTTTGTCCTTGTGAAAAGTACAAAATCTTTGCCTATGGACAGCGCTTCCAGTTCTGACATTCATAGAATCACAGAGTTGGAAAGGATCTCCAGGGTCATCTAGTCCAACCCTCTGCACAATGCAGAAAATACACAAATACCTCCCTCTCCACACCCCCAGTGACTGGTGTTCCACACTCAGAAGATGACCAAAAACCTCCAGGATCCCTGGCCAAACTGGCCAGGCAAAAAAATGCTTTCTGACCCCAAAGTGGCAAGCAACATTTCCCTGGGCATGTAAGAAAGGGTCACAAGAACTAAGCACTGAGGCAACCCTTCCTGCCCTCCCTCTCATGATCTGCTTAAATTCACACAATCAGCATTGCTGTCACATGGCCATCTAGCCTCTGTTTGAAAACCTCCAAAGAAGGAGAGCCCACCACCTCCCGAGGAAGCCTGTTCCACTGAGGGACCACTCTAACTGTCAGGATGTTCTTCCTAATGTTTATCTGAAAACTCTTCTGATTTAATTTCAACCTGCTGGTTCAGGTCCAACCTTCTGGGGCAATAGAAAACAAGTACTTGAAGATGGTTATCATATCACCTCTCAGTTGTCTCCTCTCCAGGCTAAACATACCCAGCTCCTTCAACCTTTCCTCACAGGACTTGATCTCCAGACCCCTCACCATCATTCCTCTGGCCAAAGTTACTGCCACTAGCAAGAGCACTTTGATAATAAGGAATTTTTGATAATAAGGAATTTTGTTGAAACCTCCCTCAGAGGCTCTACCACAGCTTGAATCAGGCTTTGTAAAACTACATGTAATCTCCATGATGAAAGGATGAAACAGGGCAGCCCCCTTCAGAAATGATCCTAGAATGGTGAAGACACTGAATATTCTTCCATTGGACATCAGGCAGATACTACGATGGCTACTAATCTGTGCAGCATATTAGGTTTTAGGACTCTGGGACAGTCTATCATGGAGGGGGCACATTACCTGTGATAAATTTGACTACACAGGGTCACGGCCCTTGTGTCTGAACCACCTAACAAATGCTTTCCAAGAGCAGTCATATATGCTAGAGGCAGATTTCTTCCTGGATGCTAGTATAGTAGAAGCTACTTGTTCAGAGAATCCTTTGTCTATCAGAGTTTTCTACACAATCTCAATGCAATTAAGATTAAGCCATCTGGGATCTGAATAGGCTATCAGGCCTTGGGTTAACATATCTGTGGAGGCTGCATCAATGCAGCCTGGGGACTCAAGAATCAAGGTCCTTGAAGCCAAGTGTCGGCTACATAAATCAGGACTGCTTTTCCCCTTCAGTTTGCTTATGACTTCTGGAATGAAAGGAACAGGCGGTTAAGCACAGAGAAGTCCCAGTGGCCACAGTGCTATTAGACTCTGTGGAATCAGAAGCTAAAATAGTGAATTGCTGAGCTCCCATTCCCCATGGTCCATCCTACTGTGGCTCAGCCAGTCCTCCTGCATATTGAAGGGCCCCAAAATGTATTTTGCCCTCAAAATCAGGCTGGTTTCCACCCATGCCATCAACATCACCACCTTCATGGAGTCCAGGCTAGCATCCAACCAAACGATTATGTTCTTTCCAATCTGACAGGTGAGTGTTAAGATCTGGAGACTCTAGGTAGTTTGTGCAGCCAAATTACCAATATCCTGACCGTGCAGGACATGGCCACAGAAGCTTTAATCACCAGAGCCATATTTTCATAGGATTGGTGCAGCGTTGGATCACTCTTGCAGTAGGCAGTGTCCCTAAGGTATCCTTCTCCCTCCTTGGGGAGGTATATTCCTGAGGCCAGCCTAACTACAGGGGTGTCCACTGCTGGAATCTTTAGTAATATATTAACACCTTAGAAGGAGAGGAACAAAGCCTTTTGGAATGCCATGAAATCTAAGAAAGTGGGAGGGGAGGTTTCTTCCTTGATCTCTGTGATGAATAACATGGGAAATAGAAGCTTCTGGGAGTCTGACAGAATCTTCAGATAACCCTTAATCTGATTCTTCTACCTCCACATCCTCTGCCTACTCTGCCTATGAGCTAAGAGCTCCTTAGAACTTTATAAAGGAGCAAGAGGAGTTTGTCAGGGGGGGGCATTTGATGCAGTGGGGAGGAACAGCTCTTTGTCATCAGACAATTCCCCTTCCTCCCTGGCTGAGTCATGGTGAGAGTCTGCTGAGTAAATTGCAGAACCTGTGGGACTCATTGGTCCCTTTTATGTAGCTGTCACTAAAGGGCGAGAAGAGGCATGAGCTTGTGCAGTCCTTTTGCCTCACTGCCAGGGGATGACTGCCTCTTTTTCTTCCATGGATGATGCTGTATCATCTGATGGAGCAGATGAGAGAGCTGTTGAGGCCATCACTGTGACTGAGTTAGAGTGCTCAGAGAAATGCAAGTGAAAGTAGTAGAAAAGAAATAGTTGCTTTGTTGTAGACTTGAAAAGAGTAGGCAGATTTAGAAGTAAAAAGGCACATAAAGGAATAAGCAGCTTAATACTCAGCAAAGGAACACAGAAATCTTCCTTTGCCCTGCTCTCAGGAGGAGGCAGAAGAAAAAAAATGCAAACACATGAAGTAAATAAAACATTAAACTATTTCAAAAACAGATTGCTCTGTCATTTAACAATAAGAATGTTAAGCATAACTGTTACTATTCACCTGCAGGAATATGTCGTCTCTCCCATTTTGAATACCTTCCCACAGAGTTGTGGGGTGCTATGTTGCCTTAGTTTCTCCAGAGATACATCTGGATCTTCCCCAAACAGATACCACTCTAGAGGATAGAGTATATTCATCTGAGCTAGTTCCTCCTCCTTCTCCACCAAAGGATCCATTTCTTCAAAATAAATGTCTGGAACAACTTTTGCCAAATGTTGAAGAAAGGCAATGTGAAAATCCATCTTTTCATCCCACCACTGTATGAAATAAGAACAGACAGATATTAAAACAGCACAGAACAACCTAAGCCAAAAACTCTCTGCACTGGTATTTAATACACTATAAAAATTCTATATGGGAATCTCAAACAAAGTGTGCCTCTGAATATAAGGTTTTGATAAAAATGCCAAAAAGAGAGCTGCATTGATCTGTTGTAGCAGAAGAACAGTCACGGGGTCATTTATAACAGACTATGTAATGTGCTCTGGGCGATCTCTGAAAGGGTAAAGATATGTACAGTAATAGATTTCCAGCATATGATAATGATTACACGTCCATAATATAGTTGCACTGTGAGATCTAGAAAGCAAACCACCATGCATATGCAGAGTCCAGTGGCACCTTTAAGACCAACAAAGCTTTATTCAAGGTATGAGCTTTTGTGTGGATGCACACTTTTTCAAATACATCAGAATGCTAGGTAAGGTTGAAACTTATAGACAGGGGCTGACCAGCAAATTAACATGTAACATGATGAAGATGTGCAAAGGCAAAACTAAATAACAAGCTAAGGTTATAAGGTCAACAGTTGTAAAGCAATAAATATGTCAAAATAGCAGATAAATGTGTAAAGGTATATTTTCTAATTGTGGGAAGTAAGCTGATACTCAGCCACACTGAGCCTGCTTTGGCAGGGAGGGCGGGGCATACATTGAACAAACAAACAAATAAATAAATTCCTCCACGCCTGAGGCGTTTTTTGGATCCAGAAAGATATTTGTGTGATATTCGCCTTAGGAAGGTTTTGCAATCTGCACTCGGCTGACTGTTAACTGCTCTTGTTGAAAACAGACATAATCTTAAGAGCTTGAAAGTCACTGCTCTGTACAGGGTATTTCCCGAGGAAGAATTCCATTTGAAACATTGAAAGTAATCCAGAAACAACGTAGAATAGGATTTTTCTTATGATTTATTGATTTTTTTATGTTTGTGAATTGTATACATCTTAAGCAGACATTATTCATTCCATTAAAAAAACAGAATTTTCCTTATGACTTATCGAAACTGTACATTTGTGAACTGTATGCACTTCTAATAGACATTACTTAATGCATTTACAATTTTTTTGACAGTTGATACTTTGGGGTCTGATATTCACCTGCTATTGCCATTCGGCATCTGAAATCACCTTTAAAAAGTTTATATCTCTGGTACCTCATGTTACATTTTATGGCACTCATGGCCCGGCCCAAAAAAGTGACATTTATGTCAGATTCAGCCCTCATAACGAATAAGTTTGACACCTCTGCCTTGCTCTAACCATCTTAATGCCCTCTTTAATTCCCGGAACTCCTCAGTAAACCAAGGAGCCAGGGAAGATTGAGGACACAGAAGATGTCAGAGAGCAATCTGGTTGAAAGCCAAGCTGAGACCCATATTCCAAGCCTCAGCTCACTGAGAGAACCACTGACAAACCTGAGAAATCCTGCACAGCATTCCAGAAGCCTACAGGATCTATAAGTCTCTGTGGGCAAGGCAAAATTTGCTCTCCCTCCTTGAGGAGGTGGGTTGAGAACCTCAAATTGGCCCTGAGTAGGAAATGATCAGACCATGGCACAGGTTCACATTTAACCAGACTATTCTGATCTATACCTGCACAGAAAATCAAATCCAGGGTGTAGCCTGCTTCGTGTGTGGGGCCTGATACAACCTGATAGAGTCTGAAGTGGCAACAACCAGTGATGCATCTCCATAGACACTGAAATCCCCCAGGACCAAAAGTCATGGAAAACACAATGTCCAGTCGGAGAGAGCATCTGCTAACCTCAACAGGGTATCTACTATGGAGATAGATCAAGATGGGTAGCTGTGTTAGTCTGACTGTAGCAGTAGAAAAGAGCAAGAGTCCAGTAGCACCTTAAAGACTAACAAAATATGTGGCAGGGTATGAGCAAGACCGAGTGAGCTCCCGTCTCTAGTTCCAGCTCCTGCCAACCTAGCAGTTCGAAAGCAAGAAATTGCAAGTAGATAAATAGGTACCACTTCGGTGGGAAGGTAACAGCGTTCCGTGCGCCTTGGTGTTTAGTCATGCCGGCCACATGACCACGGAAACATCTTCAGACAGCGCTGGCTCTTCGGCTTTGAAACGGAGATGAGCACCGCAACCCTAGAGTCGGATTCGACTGGCTTTCGAGCAAGGGAACCTTTACCTTTATGAGTTCTCATGGTATCTGGAGAAGTGAGCAGTGACTCACAAAAAAGCATACCCTGTTGCATATTTTGTTAAGTCTTTAAGATGCTACTGAACTCTTGCTCTACTGGTATCTACTGGTGAGCTGGGCAGACAGTATACCAGTAAGATAGCCAGCCTTTCCCTAGTACCCCACACTAGGCCAGCACATTCAGTCCTGGCGATCTGCAGCACAGGGATCCTCCAGAAAGGAAAACTATCTCAAATAAGGATCACAACCCCACCCTACCCCGTCCCCCTATTCGTGATTGATGAAGGACCGTGTAGGACCCAGTAACCCAGCAGAGCCAGCTCAGTAGGAGGAACAACTTCATCAGTCCCCAGCCAGGTCTCGTTCCTGCAGGCCAGATCAAAGTGACCCTGTTTTACAACATCATGCAGGGTCACAGTCTTATTTCAGATTATCCTCCAACCACTTCTGTCTGTTCTAACAGCAGTTTGTCTGTTGTAGAGAGATAAATGATCTTTTAAAATGTCTTTTAAAAGCGAGAAGGGAAAGGATGCACCTTCAATGTCATGCAATTCTGGTGGTATCAAGTCACCCAGAAGCTGCTGCCAGGCCCAGGGTTGCCAACCTCTAGGTGGGACCTGGAGATCTCTGGGAATTACAACTGAACTCCAGAGTCCCTAGAGTCCACCATAAAATCTCCAGGAATTTCCTAACCTGAAGCTGGTAGCCCTAGCCAGGCCTGGTCCCTATGAGTCTTCCCTCAAAGGCCAAAACAGCCCTGGAAAGTGCTCTGCCTCCTCCCCCTGCCTTTTACTCACAGAAACTCCAAACCTAGAATGCTGTTGTTACCTAGCAACAGCCAGTAATGGAACCCATTCGTTAAAGCTACCAGCAGTCCTTTTATCATTGGGGGGGAGGTTAAACCCCAATATATATATTTTTAGAGTTCACATTTTTCAGTAAACGTGGGACATTTTTCAGGCTTGCAGAAAGTTCTGTCTTGCCTGTTCACTATTCCAGTCTCTGGATTTAAGTATCCTCAGATTTGGCCAACTTCCTTATTAGTATATAGATATGCATGTTCCACCTAGCTCCTGGTAATAACTGAGCTGCAGCATTCTGTACCAACTTCAGTCTCTGAGCTGACTTCAAGGGCAGACCCACACAGAATGCATTACAATATCCAGTTAGTGTGGTATGGCCCTAGATCAGACAAGTCAAGTTAGGGGGCCAGGCTTGACAAAGTTGGAAGACAGCATTTTTTGCAGCTGTGTTAATCTGTTAACCTACATAAATGCTGGGTCCATTATAACCCCAGGGTCAGCTGAATGCCATCAAAAGTGGTGAGTACAGTGTCCTTCAAGGCCTCAGCCTTTCCAACCAGCATTACTTCCATATTGTTAGGATTCAGTTTCACACTAAGCCTTCTAACCACAGCACTTAGGCAGTAACCCAAGATTTCTACTGCATCACTGGAAGATTTGGATAAAGTGATACATGGCAGGGTATCACCAGTATATTGCTGGCACCGAATTCTAAAGCTACAAATGATTTCTCCAAAGGACTTTACATAGAGACTGAATAGTGAAGGGGTATTAAGGGGTATTACTGAGCTTGTGAAACGAGTCCCACACTGATGACACTGATGACAAACATCATGAGTTTATGGAGCCATTGCCTACAAGTTTTTCCCCTCTCTATACTCATACACATACTCAATTCACAACTGAAGATAAACCTTCACATATTTTATGAAGGAAGCTCTAGTCCATATAAAACCAAAGCCACAATGTGGTTGTTCATGTTTAAGGTGACATAAACTTCTTCAAAATTATATTAAAAGATGTATACCTTTCTGTTCTCTTTTAGCTTCTGATATCACTGTGAATAGGGGGAAAGGGTTTTGGAACCTATCTCCCCATTTATGACCCTCCCATGCTTCTGGAAAAAAGTATCATGTGATTATATAACTCACAGTGTACCAAAACAGTACAGGCACAGACATCTGCATAATTAAATTACACGTCGCCGGAGAAGAACATGTTCCGTGCTCCCAGCTGGCAGAAGACACAAGCGAACACCTGGACAAGTTACTGTGAGCTCAGCTGGTAAGTAGACTATGTAAAATAATACCTATTTAACGAAAATCAGGGGGGGGGGGAACTGCCCTGCCATTCACCTAAGTTTAAACTAAGTAAAAAAACCCAAGTTAGGCCCCTGCCACACGGCAGGGGAAAAGCCGTCAAAAAGCGTGGCTTTTTAAAGCCGCGCCAAAGTTGAAACGGCGCAGCGGGATCCCACGGATCCCCTGGCCGCGCCGCCTTTTCTCCCCGGCACGATCAGACGCCGGGAAGAAAACACAGATCTGACGGCGAGCCAGCCGAACTGCGCATGTCGGAGCATGCGCAGTTCGGCTAGGAGCCGGGGACACGCCGGCGCAAGGATGCGCCGGCGATCAGACTCCCAGTTTGCGGCGCACCTTTGAGATGAACCACCTCGGTAGGTGGTTCCAACTTGATGCGGTTTATCACGTGGATGGGCCAGTTCGGGGACGGAAGTACTACGCTTCCCAGATGTTGTGGTGTGATCGCGGCCATTTGATCCGCCCCCGAACTGTCCCGCTCCCGGCCCAAATCCCCTCGTGTGAACGGGACCTTAGAAAAACAGGGGTTCTTCAGTAACTTGCAAAAGAATATACTAATATTAATGCTGCTGTTTACATATTTAGCAGCTGATTTCTAAATACTTATTTCTCCTTGCCAAATTGTTTCCCCTGACAATAAACAGCATTTTATTTATTTATTTATTTATTTGGATTTATATCCCGCCCTCCCCAT